TACCTAAATATGTATCTGCTTTGATAATTGTAGTTAAGTAATTAATTCATTTGTTGTTACATTGAATTATTTGTTTATTTTCTTAAACCTTCATTCATACCGTGATCATTTTGCTTTTTGAACAAAGGCTTGTTGTTTGCATGATACACTTTTCACAAATTAATGCTACTTGGCGTTTTGCCAATTTATTTACTGCAATAAAAATTTAAAATGCTTTTGAACTTTTTGTTATCAACATATCCAAAACCAATGGCTGTCGAAGTACTTTAATTGAGATTAGGAGTATGTTTATGTTCAATTTGATATATTTGTTACAGGTCTTCCCACTGTTCAAATATATTAAACTGACTATTAAACATCTCTTAATCTCAATTAAAGTAATCGGTCACCAATAATAGTAAGGACACAAACCTTCAAAACAAGTAGCAGGGACGCATACTCGCAAGCAGATTTAAAACGCAACTGTGCCTTTGCGTTAATAGATGGCAGAAGGTTAACGCGGGTCCAACAAAGTGCGAGAGAGTGGGCTATCTATACTTGTCTTTGTCTATGAGCGGTACTCTGTAATCTGTGGTAGCAATTAGCATGCACATGGAAGTAAGGTGTAAATTAATAAGATGCCCATGCCAGCAAGCAGCTAGCATGGAGAGAATGCAATGCTATGGCGTACGGATGCCGGAGCTGACAAATTCTTAGAGAGGACTACAAGTTTTAAAGGATAACTCCCGAGAACTCGTAGTACCAAAAAGGGGGTTTTTTAGTTGGTAAGAATCCAACACTACCCAGGGTTCGGAACACTGGGTGTCTTCGCGAAGATTTTTATTTCTCCAGCCGCCGGGCAAACCAAAAAAAAAACCTTTCTTATTTTACTTTCTCTATGCTGTCAACAGCAGTTGCATAGTTGCATTTTATTGCTTGCAGAACGCGTGTAGTAACTTGATTTTGCTAGTGATTTTGTGGTTGTTTTATAGTAATAGTGGAAGGAAGTGAATCAATAATTTTGAACAACGGTAAGATAATTAAGGGTAATGCTTTACGATGCGATCTGGTACTAGGATTACCGCTTTGCCGATTAAGATGCTATGCTCACCTTATAGAAAATCTCGTAACAAACAATATTTTTCGTATAAATTTTTCGAGTAAATGCCGTTTTCCACCACTTTTCGCCCTCTAAAATTCACCAATTTCCAAAAAAAAACAACGGTCGCCATGATAGTTCAACACTTTGCGCCGGCGTGCCAGTCAACATTTTTTGCGTAGTTGCCAGTACTATCATTACCACTTCCGTAACCACCTACGCGATCAGTTTCGCTGAAACATTCAAACAGAATCAATTTGAAGATTGAAGAATTTGAGAATTTTAAAGTTTTTTTAAATTTAAAATAAATAGTAATTAGTAATACCCAGAAATTTCACTACTTTTCCGATTCTCATGATAATTCCAATTAACTGATTAAGAACTCACACGCGTTTATAGAAATCCATAGAGAAACCAAAGCTGGAAATACTTTATTTTATTTTCTTTGCATGCATACACATTTAATTTGATATTTCAAACGGCTGGCTGCAATCAGCTGGGTCCCGGCTAAATTACGCGCACAATCATATGTATGAGCTTATCAGTTTCGTCTACTATTTCCTGTATGGACGTAATTCTGCTAAGTTTTCAACCTTGAATGAATTACTTTTTGTTTTCATTGAAATTTTCTACTTTTGTGGCAGTTTGGCAACATGGCTGACCAGTGTGCAATGTTTGGCTGCGCGTACCCTGCGTGCAGGCATGTGCGCGTGCCACAGCAAATCGTACCGTAAAGCATTACCTAATTAGGGGTTACTATAAGGTGTGCTGTTTTGCAAAAAATATAGATAACTGGAAGAAAAGATACCACTGACTTATTTGTCTATTGTTTCAGATGATGCCTAGACATTATTATAAAAAGTGTGTATTTTGATGATGCGAAAATCGTAACGGGAATCCGGATATGAGGTTCCACATGCTTCCTCATGGTGCGATTATGTTTCAACACTGAATGGAGGTTGCTATTCCCAAAAGTTTTATAGCTCCTTCTAACATTTGCATGCCACCGGCTAATGATTCGGTGACACATCCTAGGGTAGGGTAGGGTTACTTTTTATGACAGAAAAAAACGTTTATAATAACAAAAAACTTATCAGATATAGAAACTTCTCATTATGATTTATAGCGTGCCCTTATTTTCTTTCGTATTTCTGTTCTTGTAAATATGTATAATTTTTAATGTATTTTCGTATTTCTGTTATTATAAATACCATTTATGACTGTGTTTTTCTTGTTTCTGCTATAATAAATACTTTTATCATTTATGACTGTGTTTTTTTTCCTAATAACGTCAATACCTATACCTACATGTTCCTATTTTCTTTCTAGGTCAGTATCAGGTTTGTGTTTGCCAGCATTACATGATATTAAAGGTTTCTGTTACAAGTCCACTGATTTTTAATGTAGTTGAGCAAACATATACCTTGCTAGGAATAAAGCCTCTGTCCCATGCATCCGTTTATACGATGATACGAAAGTGTTTCTATTGGTTAGAGATTTGTCAGTTCGTAGGACGACGGACGAATTGACAGTTCGCCAACTAATAGAAACCCTTTCGTATCATCGTATAAACGGATACATGGACTTAAGAATCTCATAGAAGTTACAATCATATCGAAATTCATCATTTAAAATTCCCGCTTCTTTTTAATTTAGGGACGCAAATAGCTGGCAGAGGGCGCGCATAAGCGGTCACGGGTGTTTGCATTGAGTTGTCACTTCTTGTTCAAAGGTCTTTTGTGTTGCATGCATAAAGACGAGTATAGATTACCAACTCTCTCGCACAATGTGGAAACAATGTCTATCTTACCGCCATCTATGATGAATCTAGACACAACTGCGCCACGTCCTTCTTGCGGGGTTTGCGTCTCTGCTACTACTGCTCAGGGTTTGCATCGTTGCTATTGTCGGCCTACCCATTACTTAAATTGGAATTAAGATATGTTTAATATTCAGTTTGATATATTTGTACAGAAGCAAGACTTGTTTCTGATTTATAAACAAATATAT